GGAAAGGAGATTGTAAGCTGCTCTGAGACTCCTTCGGGTAGTGAAGGGCAGCTGCTGATGTGACCTGGGGTCATTCACAAGTTCTCTCAGAGCTGTTCTCTCAAGGGCAGTCCTCGAGAGAGCTCTCTCAGCCCCACCTGCCTCACAGGGTATTTGTTGTGGGGAGGGGGAAGGAAAGGAGTTTGTAAGCCGATCTGAGACTCCTTCGGATAGTGAAGGGCGGGGTATAAATCCAATCTCTTCTTCTTCTTCCACCACATGCAGCTGCTGGTGTGACCTTGGGTCAGTCACAAGTTCTCTCAGAGCTGTTCTCTCATGAGCAGTTCTATCAGAGCTCTCTCAGCCCCAACTACTTCACTGGATGTCTGTTGTGGGGAGGGGAAGGGAAAGGAGTCTGTAAGCCGCTCTGAGACTCCTTCGGGTAGCGATGAGCAGGGTATAAATCTAATCTCTTCTTCTTCTCCTCCCCCCCCCCCAAGCCATCTCCTGTTGCCCTCATTCCTCTGGGCCGCTCCCAGCCCTAACCACTCCCACCCACTCCCCCGCAGCCTACCGTAGGTCTCCGTGGTGATCCGACGCTGAGCGTAAGTGGCCAGCCCTTCGCTCAGCCACATCTCTTCCCACGTGGCGTTGGTGACCGCATTGCCGAACCAGCTGTGGGCCACCTCGTGGATGACGTCGATGATGAGGAACTCATCGCTCTCCAGGATGGACGAGATGATGAAGGTCAGGCACGGGTTCTCCATGGCGACGATGGGGAAGGAGGGAGGGAGGAAAACGATGTCGTACCTGGAAGGGACGGAGGAATCTGGATCACCTCCAAGACACGCGCAGGAAGCTGCCTCAGACTGAACCAGGCCCTTGGCCCATCCAGGTCCGTCTTGTCTACTTAGACAGGCCTTGGCTCTCCAGGATCTCAGGCGGAGGTCTTTCCGATCATCTCCTGTCTCGTCCTTTTAACTGGAGATACCAGGGACTGAACCTGGGACCTCCTGCATGCCAGGCAGAGGCCACAGCCTCTCCTTACAGTTCTCCAGGGTCTTGGGCAGAGGTCTTTCATTCCACCACCTGCCTGGTCCTTTTAACTGGAGATGCCGGGGATTGAACCTGGGACCTCCTGCATGCCAGGCAGAGGCTCTTTACAGCTGGCTCTGCACCACAAAGCCACGGCCCTGATTTTTTAGACCAGAGCAAGGCTGTTAATGACCAGATGTTTTAGAGGTCATTAATTCACAGGGCCACCGTTTAGTCACAACTGACCTGACAGCACATAAACAACCCTATTCTTCCTCTTCTTCTTCTCCTCTTCACATACTTTTATGGAGCCCTAAGCTAGGAAAAACTCAAGCTGGGGGTGTGGGTGGCGGAAGAGCAGACATGCCGCCAGTATTCCCTCTAAGCTGAGCTAGTGTGAGCTAGCTCACAGTTTTTGAGCTTCTAGCTCACAGTCACGGGAGAGCTCTCTCAGCCCCACCTACCTCACAGGGTGTCTGCTGTGGGGAGGGGAAGGGAGAGGGAGTCTGTAAGCCGCTCTGAGACTCCTTTGGGTAGTGAAGGGCGGGGTATAAATCCAATCTCTTCTTCCTCTTCTTCTTTTCCTCTTCGCATACTTTTATGGAGCCCTAAGCTAGGAAAAACTCAAGCTGGGGGTATGGGTGGTGGAGAGCTGACATGCAGCCAGTGTTCCCTCTAAGCTGAGTTAGTGTGAGCTAGCTCACAGTTTTTGAGCCTCTAGCTCACAGATTTTTGTCGTAGCTCAGGAAGGGATGGCTCCAGAGCAAACTAAATTAGGCAGCAGCCTAATCGCTCACTCACAGCTTTAATGCCAGTCGCTCACAAAGTAGAATTTTTGCTCACAAAAGTCCATGGCTTAGAGGGAGCATCGCATGCGACAACTCCTTGGAAGTCACGGACTTGGAGCTGCCCCTCTCGCGTTGGCCTCCGCCTGCACACGCGCAAGCATGCTTACCGTCCCCATATGTAGGGGCCGTAGAGGCTCTCCGCGGCGCTCAGCCATCGCTCCACCCGGCCCGAGAGTTTGCTGATCGCCGTTTCCAGCAGGCACGGTTCTGCCCACACTCTGCTCCTATCACAAAGCAGACAAAAGTAAGCCCGTCGGAGTTCGCGACAAGGTATAAGACCACCAAGGAAGTCTAGGGTTGCTACGCAGAGGCAGGCAAGGGCAAACCGCCTCTGTCCGTCTCTTGCCTCGAAAACCCCACGGGGTCGTCCTAAGAAGCGAAGCAGGATCAGCCCTGGTTCGTACTTGGATGGGAGGCCACCAAGGAAATTTAGGGTTGCTACGCAGAGGCAGGCAAGGGCAAACCGCCTCTGCTCGCCTCTTGCCTTGAAAACCCCATGGGATTGCCATAAGAAGCTAAGCAGGATCAGCCCTGGTTCATACTTGGATGGGAGGCCACCAAGGAAATCTAGGGTTGCTACGCAGAGGCAGGCAAGGGCAAACCGCCTCTGTCCGTCTCTTGCCTCGAAAACCCCACGGGGCTGGCATAGATCACCAATGACTTGACGGCAGTTTCCACCACCAAATACAAACCCACCCATCGTTTCAAGATCTGAGTGTCACGCGTCCCTCCTCCCAAGAATATGGAGGTGGCGGGGTATAAGAACAGCTGCAGTCCAGCGCAGACCCGTTTGCCTGACCCATGAGGCTTACCGGACTCTGAACCAGTGTTCCCTCTAAGCCGAGTTAGTGTGAGCTGGGTCACAGTTTTTCAGCCTCCAGCTCACGCGTGTTTGCCTTCACTCAGGAAGGGATGGGCTAACTGATTTATGCAGCGGCCAAATCGCTCGCTCGCCACTTTAATGCCAGTCGCTCACAAAGTAGGATTTTTGCTCACAGGACTACAGGGCTTAGAGGGAGCATTGCTCTGAATGGCTCCTCATGTCGACCCGCCCGAGCGGCTGCCTACCAAGTCTTACCTGGGACCGATGTCGGCAGGTACCAGGTCCCCTGCGACCAGAGCCACCAGATAGGCAGGGACGGGGTATTCCATGTAGAACTCGTAGACGCCCTCTTGTTCCCTGAAGGTGCTTTGGGTGGCGCTCATCAATACTTGCATACCCGGAGGTGCCTGGAATGCGACATGCACAAGCTGACGGGACGGCTGGGGAAACGGAGCGCCGAATCCACAAAATGCACGTCCTCGTACTTTTTCGGTTGGTTGCCAGTCGAGTACCGGATTCGCTTCGAGGGGCTGGTTTTGACCTTCAAAGCCTTATACGGCCTGGGACCCACATATCTAAGGGACCGCCTCTTCCCATATACACCTCGGAGAGTGTTACGCTCGAACGATCAACACCTCCTGGTGGTCCCCGGCCCGAAGGACGCCCGTCTTGCCTCGAACAGGGCCCAGGCTCTCTCTGTCCTGGTGGGACATGCTTCCTATTGAGACCAGGGCCCTGCGGGAACTTCTTTAATTCCGCAAGGCCTGCAAGACGGAGCTTTTCCGCCAGGCCTGCGAGATGGAGCTTTTCTGCCAGGCCTGCGAGACGAGGCTCTTCCGCCAGGCCTTTGGTTGAGGCAGCGGGTGCCCATTTATGGATTCCCTGAGGTTGCTGTCAACCGTCTGTCACCTGTCTACTGACTGCTGACAACTGGCCTTTAACCCATTGTACCATTGGGCCAGAATTTTATAGCCAACTTATGCTCTTCCAAGGTGTACCCATTGTTTGAATTGTTATAACATTTTATTGTGTTTAATCAGGGGTCATTTCGTAGAAAAAGAGGTGCAGGAGCTCATTAGCATAACTTATTTGCATATGCCACACCCCCTGACGTCACCGGAAGTGTGTCAGAAGGCAACACCCACCGCTCAGGCTCCACTGGACTGTTTTGGATTGTTAGCTGTTGGGGGGGACGGGGACGTGCAGATCTGCCCTTGCAGAGGAGGGAGAGCTTGTATCGGAATAAAACTTGGTCTTAAAGGTGCCATTGGACTGTTTTGGATTGCTAGCAGGGGGGGGGATGCACAGATCTGTGCAGGAAGGAAGGTAGGAGGGAAAAAAGAGAAGGAAAGAAGGAGGGAATGAGGGAGAGAAGGAAATAAGGAGGTGCCCGCCCCCTGGGCTCTTTACTGCCGGAGCTCCGCTCCTGTGCGCTCCTGCAGGAAATGACCCCTGGTTTTAATGTTTTAAACTGAAATTGTATTTATTTCAATGGTGTTACCTGCCCTGAGCCTGCCCACGGGATGGGTGGGATATAAATACAAATAAATAAATAAATAAAATTAAACTGAAATTCCGCACCCATGCTGTGCAGATTCTGCACTCGGGAAGACTAGATTCTGCAACCAGTCTGGATTATGCAAATCTAGGCATTTACAGGTTCTCGCTTATACTTTATCCTGGATTTTGCTAGTCACTGAAAGAGGCAAAGCACTTGGGGAAGGCTCTGGAGGGGCACCTCCCAGCCGCTGGTACTCCTGTCTCTACCCATTTCTCTGGCATCTGGGATTTTATAACGCAGTGCCTGGAAACTGGACACTGGCAACTGAAAGAAAAGAATAAGAAAGCCAGCATAGGTAAAGGCAAAGGTCTCCCTTGCTTGAAAGCCAGTCAAATCCGACTCTAGGGATGCGGTGCTCATCTCCGTTTCTGAGCTGAAGAGCCAGCGCTGTCAGAAGACGTTTCCGCGATCACGTGGCCGGCATGACTAGACGCCGAGGCGCATGAAACGCTGTTATCTTCCCACTGAAGCGGTACCTATTTATCGACTTACAATGTCTTGCTTTCGAACTGCTAGGTTGGCGGGAGCTGGGGCCAGAGACGGGAGCTCGCTCCGTCATGCGGCACTCGGGTCTCGAACTGCTGAACTACCGACCTTCTGGTCTACAGTGCAGTGTAATGTGAGGAACCATTAACCAATTTCTGGTAGACTGATCCCTGCTGGTTTTTCTAGGATTTTTGCAAAACGGTCTGGTCTAGACCATAGTCTGATGCAGCGATTATGTTCTCCAAAACGTCCTGTCGTTAACGGTGACAAGAGTCACTGGTAAAGACAGTCATGCTAGGAAAAGCAGGAAGAGAGGAAGACCCAACAAGGAATGGATTGACTCTTCTCCAGGAAGCCACAAGGGCCCTCCGTTTGCAAGACCTGAGAAAGGCTGTTAACGACAGGACGTTTTGGAGAACATAATTCACAGGAATGGAAGCGATTAGAGAACATTTAACAAACACACACATTTTTAAAGTTTCTTCTTTTCTTTTTTGAGAAAGGCTGTAAAAGGTAAAGGTTCCCTTGCTCGAAAGCCAGTCGAATCCGACTCTAGGGTTGCGGTGCTCATCTCCGTTTCAAAGCTGAAGAGCCAGCGCTGTCTGAAGACGTTTCCGTGGTCATGTGGCCGGCATGACTAAACACTAAGGCGCACGGAACGCTGTTCCCTTCCCACCAAAGTGGTACCTATTTATCTACTTGCAATTTCTTGCTTTCGAACTGCTAGGTTGGCAGGAGCTGGAACTAGGGACGGGAGCTCACTCCGTCATGTGGCGCACTCGGGTCTCGAACTGCTGAACTACCGGCCTTCCACAGCCTGCAGTTCAGTGTCTTAACCACTTGAGCCGCCGCAGCTCCATTTTTTATGGTAGCCTGTGGCAATTTTATACCTCACAAACATAGCACATCTCATTCTTTGATATTTAAGATTTGTGTTACTCCTTACTCAACGTGGATTATAAAATTTCTGCAGCAGTTGTTGCAGGCAGATTAAAGAAAATATTGGTTCGGATTATACATCGAGATCGATCTGGTTTCTTGCCAAAACGATATGTGAGAAATAATGTGAGAATGATAAGGAATGTATTGGAGTATTACGAGATACATGTGGAGAAACAGATGGCGTTGATTTTTTTAGACGCTGAGGCCCCTGCCACATGGAAGCAGTGTTCCCTCTAAGCTGAGTGAGTGTGAGCTAGCTCACCGTTTCTTAGCCTGTGGCCCACACATTTTTGCCTTGGCTCAGGAAGGAGGGCTCCAGAGCAAACTAATCTATGCAGTAGCCAAATGGCTCGCTCACAGCTTTAATGCCAGTAGCTCACAAAGTAGAATTTTTGCTCACAAGACTCCACAGCTTAGAGGGAACATTGCATGGAAGGGAAAAACACCGGCAAAAAAGACACGCGGCGGCGGGATCACATAGATCCCCTAAGCTGCCGCGCACTTCCTCCCCGGCACGAACAGATGCCGGGGGGAAGCCACTGAAAGGGAAGCGAGGCAGCCAAACTGCGCATGTGTGCGCATGCGCAGTTCGGCTTGGAGCCGGGATTGCTCCGAAGCGCGCCGCTGCGATCCCGCGGCCGCGCTTGATGCGGCATGCCCGGTAAGTCCACCTCTGGGGGTGGTTCTTTTTTACTGCGGGGTTTTGGCCTGAAGGGCCGGATCGGGGACCGCTTCCCATATGTTGCAGTGAGATCGCGCCCGTTTGCTGCGCCCCCGATCCGTCCCTCTCCCGGGCCAAAACCTTCAGCGTGACCGGGGCCTGAAAAGGCCTTCGATATTGTTAGTTGGTCTTTCCTGTTACAGTACCCTCAAAGAGATAAAATTAGGCGCAAAAAATGTGAAAGAACGACATTTTTAAAGTTTCATGTCTCGCCGACGAGTCCAAAAGGCAAGCTAAATCACATCCCAGCTGACTTCAGGCGGCAGAAACCCCCAAATCCCTGGCCCCGAGAAACAGTATCGGTTTTGAACTCCCTACCTTGACGACAGCAGAGTAGGAACACTTTACAGCAGGCGTGTCGAAGCAGGGGAAGAAAGACCGGTTGCACACCGAATGGCCCTGGGTGAAGACAAATGGCTTGGAGATGCCGTACGTCAGCTCGGGATCCAGCCACCAGATCTGATGGAAGAGAAAGAAGGGTTGGGTGAGACAGGCGGGGAGAACAGAGACAGTCGAAAATAGTTTTGGGGGAGCTGAGAGGTCACTCAGGGAATTCGTCGCCCTCGCTTGCGTCTCCCGGAACCACACCACCTCTACTTATGGTTACCAGCTCTGGGTGGGGAAATACCTAGAGATTTTGTGGGTGGAGCCTGGGGAGGGCGGGGTTTGGGGAGGGGAGGGGCCTCAGCAGGATTATCGTGCCACCGAGTCCAAGCTCCAAACCAGCCACTCTCTCCAGGGGGACTGACCTCTGTCGTCTGGAGGTCAACTATAATAGCGGCAGGACTTTGGATTTGGCGTCGCTTATCTGCAAGGCTTCTGCCTTGCAATACTCACCTAGTTTGTTCAATAATCTCCTCAGGCCAATCTTGGTAACAGATAAAAGGACCATATCGTCCGCATATAAAAGAATTGGCACTTTAAGTTGTCCAATAGTTGGAGGCATAAATTCACTGCCTTCCAAGCTGGCAATTAAATCGTTCAGATAAAGGTTGAACAATGTGGGTGCAAGCACGCAACCCTGTTTCACCCCCTTCTGAACTGGTATGTCTTCCGTAAGTCGACCCTCCCTTCCAACCTTAACCTTGACAGAGGTGTTGTTATGTAGCAAACTAATTAACTTAACCAACCATGGCTCAATTTTTATATTCAGGAGGTTCTGCCATAACCTACCTCTGTCTATGGAATCAAAGGCTGCTGCAAGATCAATAAAGGCAGCATAAAGGCTGAAAGGGAGCAAAACAACCACGATACATTATGCCAAAAAATTCTGCATAGACTTCTAAGTTCTTTCCCAATATCCAATTTACTTGGAGCAACTCAAACGCATCAACACCACAACGGACCGTGCATATCGCGTCTCATTCTGTATGCAAACTTAATTAGAGTGGGTAGCGTTGAGATTCCGATGTCATTTTAATCCGTTTGCCAAGCACCATAGTCCTTTCTCACAGTAACACTCATCATTACACTAGAGGATTTGATGGCTGTTACTATGAGAAAGGACTATGGCAGTGATGGCGAACCTTTTAGAGACCGAGTGCCCAAACCGCGACCCAAAACCCACTTATTTATCGCAAAGTGCCAACACGGAAATTTAACCTGAATACTGAGGTTTTACTTTAGAAAAAAAAACCTCACACATTAACTTAAGATGATCCAAACAAAGTAAGGAAAGCAATCCCAAATGCTTTCATTTACTTAAAATTATTTGGCAGAGAATTAAACACTTTAATGATGGTCTGGGCCTGGCTGGGGCGATGGCATGCGTGCCCACAAAGAGGGCTCTGAGTGCCACCTCTGGCACCCATGACGTAGGTTCGCCACCACTGGACTATGGTGTCTGCCAAATGGATTAAAATGGCATAGGAATTTCAACGCTACCCACTCTGATAAAGCTTGCATACGAAACAAGACGCAATCTGCACGGTCCCGTTCTGGTGTTGATGCGTTTGACTCGCTCCAAGTTAATTGAATGTTGGAAAAGAACTTGAAAGTCTATGAAGAATTTTTTGGCAAAATACATCATGGTGGTTTTGCTCCCTTTCAACTCTCTGGAGTCCACCTTAGCGCCTGAACCCAGAGACGGCAGCATGGGGAAAAGGTGTTTGGGGAGGCACAAAGCCTTTGGATGGACCCGTTCTCTGGTCTGGCGTTGCGGCGCAAATGCCCTGGAGTCTATAACACTGACTGTGGAACTGCATTGACTCATCTAGCCCCAAACATGAGCAGCACATGTCAGGACTCTGGGCATCCACAGAAGCTGAAGGCTTGTAGATTAAAGACGGACAAAAGAAATACTTCTTTATATAAAGGTAAAGGTTCCCTTGCTCGAAAGCCAGTCGAATCCGACTCTAGGGTTGCAGTGCTCATCTCCGTTTCCAAGCCGAAGAGCCAGCGCTGTCCGAAGACGTTTCTGTGGTCATGTGGCCAGCATGACTAAACACAAAGGCGCACGGAACGCTGCTACCTTCCCACCAAAGTGGTACCTATTTATCTACTTGCAATTTCTTGCTTTCAAACTGCTAGGTTGGCAGGAGCTGGAACTAGAGACGGGAACTCAGTTCCGTCATGCTGCACCCGGGTCTCGAACTGCTGAACTACCGACCTTCCACAGCCTGCAGTTCAGCGTCTTAACCACTTGAGCCACTGCAGCTCCACTTCTTTATATAGAGAGTGATTAAAATAAGGAACTCGCTGACAGAGCACATAGTGATGGCCAAGGGCAAAGAAGGCTTTAAAAGGAAACCAGACAGATTCATGGAGGACAGGTCTATCAGTGGCTACCAGCCACAGTGACTAAAGGGAACTTCCTCGTTCAGAGGCAGTCAGCCTCTAATTCCACTGCCAGGAGGCTACATCGGGGGAAGGTCTTGGCCTCTGTGCCCTGTTGTTGGACCTCCAGAGGAACTGGTTGGCCCCTGTGTGAGACGGGATGCTGGACTCGATGGACCCTCACAGGTCTGATCCAGCAGGGCTCTTTTTACCCTTTATGTGTATTAACTAGATGACCTAAGGCAAGAGGCCCCCTCCCAGCCTCAGCGCTTGAGCATAACACCACCGGCATCCGATACAGGGCCTCTCGCTACATCTGAAATATTTCCCCAGGCTTCAGTTCAGCAGAAAAAGCCAAACCGTCCTATGCTTTGGCTTCAAGCCTCTTTCAGACGGCCGAAGAAGCAATCGGGCATTCGCGTGCATCTCGTTTCTTTGGCAGAGCAGCGGGAAAGAGCAATGCGCACGAACAGGGGGAGACGAAACCGAGAACTATGACGGCGTGCCCTAACAAAATACCTCAGCCGCCAGCCGTCTGACCCATGGGCAGCCTTCCAAGTGGCGGCACCGGTGGACTTTCCAGGGCCTATTTTGATAACATGACGGACCAGCGTGGCGCGTCCCATTGCCAAGGAGAGAACACAGCAGCAACAGCAACAGAAAGAGGTTTGGTACCAAGTCACATAAAAACCGGAAAACGGGATTTTAAAAAACAACAACCCTAAGCCAATTCTATCGGATTTCGACCAGAAGCTGCCCTTGAAAAGCGTACGGGGCTGCCCTAAATTGCCTGGGATTCACCGGCACTTTTCGCCACCAATCAGTTCATGACGAATTCATTTTAGATCCCGTCTAACCCATAATGCCCTGGGCCAGGATAGCCCGGTCTCATCAGAGCTCAGAAAGTAAACACAGTCAGCCTCACTTAGTACTCAGTTAGTAGAGAGCCGGTTTGGTGTGGTGGTTAGGCACACGGACTCTAATCTGGGAGAACCGGGTTTGATTCCCCACTCCTCCATGTGCAGCTGCCGGCGTGGCCTTGGGTCAGTCACAAGTTCTCTCAGAGCTGTTCTCTCAGGAGCAGTCCTCGAAAGAGCTCTCTCGGCCCCGCCGACCTCCCAGGGTGTGTGTTGTGGGGAGGGGGAGGGGAAAGGAGTTCGTAAGCCGCTCTGAAACTCCTTTGGGCAGTGAAGGGCATGGTGTAAATCCAATTAAACCCCCCCCCTCCCCTCCTGGAGTCAGGCCACATCTGTATGATGAAACTCTGCAAGAGAAGGAAAGGGGTTTAAAGTTTAAATGCCTCCCCTTTAGGACGGATAAGAGGAAGTACTTCTTCACCCAAAGAGTGATTAACACTTGGAATTCACTGCCACAGGAAGTGGTGGTGGCTACAAGCATGGACGGCTTCAAAAGGGAATTAGATAAGCATATGGAGCAGAGGTCCATCAGTGGCTATTAGCCACAAGGTATAGATAGGGACTCTGGGGCAAGTGATGCTTGGGGGGGGGGTCAATAGTGGGAGGGCTTCTAATGTCCTGGCCCCACTGGTGGACCTCCTGATGGCACCTGGTATTTCTGGCCACTGTGTGACACAGAGTGTTGGACTGGATGGGCCTTTGGCCTGATCCAACATTGGCGTCTCTTATGTTCTTATGTTGTTCTTAAGGCAATGGCAATCGACCTCTGGACCTGCCTCAAAAACCCCATGAGGGGTCGCCGCAAATTGGCTGAGAACCAATATCCCCTCTAAACTGAGTTAGTGTGAGCTAGCTCACAGTTTTTTAGCCTCGGATAAGAACGGCCCCAGAGCGAAACTAATTTATGCAGCAGCCAAATCGCTCGCTCACAACTTTAATCCCAGGAGATCGCAAAGTAGGATTTTTGCTCACAGGACTCCACACCTTAGAAGCAATGTTCCCTCTAAGCTGTGGAGTCTTCTGAGCG